TGTCCCCCCGTGTCCCCACATGTCCCCCCGTGTCCCCATGTGTCCCCGCAGGTGTCGGAGCGGCTGGCGCGGCTGCAGGCCGCGTACCGCGAGAAGCAGGCGCAGCAGGAGGAGCTGGGCCGCCCTGTCCCCCCGTGTCCCCCCGTGTCCCCCCGTGTCCCCACATGTCCCCCCGTGTCCCCCCGTGTCCCCACATGTCCCCCCGTGTCCCCACGTGTCCCCTCGTGTCCCCGCAGGTGTCGGAGCGGCTGGCGCGGCTGCAGGCCGCGTACCGCGAGAAGCAGGCGCAGCAGGAGGAGCTGGGCCGCCGCGCGCGCGACACCGAGGCCCGGCTGCAGCGCGCCGCGCGCCTGGGCCAGGGGCTGGCGGGCGAGCGCACGCGCTGGCAGCGCGCCGTGCAGGTGTGTGCGGGGCAAATACCCCCCGAACGGGGGGGAATACCCCCAAACGGGGGAGAATACCCCCAAAGGGGGGAAAATACCCCCCAAAGGGAGGGGAGATACCTCCTAAAGGGGGGAAAATACCACACAAAGGGGGGGAAATACCCCCCAAAGGGGGAAGTGCCTCCTAAAGGGGGGAAATACCACCTAAAGGGGGAAATGGCCCCCAAGGGGGGAAAATACCCTCTAAAGGGGGGAAAATGCCTCCTAAAGGGAGGAAAATACCCCCGCAGGGAGGGAAAATACCCCCTAAAGGGGGAAAAATGCCCCTAGAGGGGTGAAAATATGCCTAGGGGGCGTGAAAATACACGTGTGTGGGAGAGATACCCCCAAAGGGGTAAAAATACCCCCAGTGGGAGGAAAATACCCCTGGGGGAGGCAAATACCCCTAGAGGGGTGAAAATACGCCTAGAGGGTGTGAAAATACACGTATGTGGGGGGGAAATACCCTCTAAAGGGGTAAAAATACCCCCAGAGGGAGGAAAAATACCCCTGGGGGGTGAAATCCCCCCTGGGAAGGTGAAAATACCCCTAGGGGGGTGAAAATACCCCCTGGGGTGGGGGAAATGCCCCTGGTGGAAATCACTGGGCTCCCCTAGGAGGCCAGAACAACCTCCCCGGGGGTCGTATACCCTGGGGGCACAAATCTACCCCCTGGGGCGGGAAGTACCCCTGGGAGGGGTAAAACTGCCCCTGGAGGGGCTAAATGCCGCCCCTAGGGGGGCAGTTTTACCCAGAGGGGGTGGCAAACATGGGGCGGCTGCCCTGAGGGAACATGGAGCCCAAAGGGGACACCATGGGGACACTGTGGGACACAGTGGGGTCACGGGGGGCTAGGGCTCTGGCAGAGCTTGGGGACACGAGGCAGGTGGCAGAGGGACGCGGCGCCACCGTCCCCGGGGGTGCTGGTGACCCTGGGGACGCAGCCGTGGCCGTTGGAGGTGGCAGCAGCAGCCGTGGTGGCGGTGGGGACATGGGGGCGGTGGGGACACGGGGACATGGGGATGGGTGGTGATAGGGACACGGGGACAGTGGGGACATGGGGACACGGGGATATGGGGACGGGTGGTGATAGGGACACGGGGACAGTGGGGACATGGGGACAGTCGGGACACGGGGATACACGGACAGTGGGGACATGGGGACACGGGGACAGGTGGTGATAGGGACATGGGGGCAGTGGGGACAGTGGGGACATGGGGACATGGGGACAGGTGGCGGTGGGGACACGGGGACAATGGGGACAGTCGGGACACAGGGACATGGGGACAGAGGGACATGGGGACACGGGGACACGGGGGCGCCGGGGCCGGCGGGGGCCGCGGTGACGCGCGGTGGCCGCAGGGCCTGGACGAGGCGCTGGCCACGGTGGCCGGGGACAGTGTGCTGGCGGCCGCCGGCCTCGCCTACCTGGGCCCCTTCGCCGCCCCCGAGCGCCACGAGCTGCTCGGCCGCGCCTGGGAGCCCGAGGTGCCCGGACGCCGGGGCCCACGGGTGGCGGGGGGGACCCGCACACCTGCGACCCACGTTGGGGGTTTGAGGGGGACCCGGACACCGGGGCCCACGGGATTGGGGGGGGACCCACACACCTGGGACCCATGTTGGGGGTTTGAGGGGGACCCAGACGCCGGGGCCCACGGGGTTGGGGGGGGACCCACACACCTGGGAGCCACGTTGGGGGTTTGGGGGGGACCCGGACACCGGGGCCCACGGGGTTGGGGAGGGACCCGCACACCTGGGACCCACGTTGGGGGGTTGGGGGGGACCCGGACGCCTGGGCCCCACATTGAAGAGAGGGGGGACCCGGACGCCTGGGCCCCTGCGGGGGGAGGGATCTGGACCCCTGGGCTCTGGGTGGGAGGGAGGCCCGGACGCCTGGGCCCTTGCGGGGGAGGGGAGGGGGCTCCCCGGACGCCTGGGCCCCTGGGGAGGGGCAGAAGGGACAAGGGGACTCTCGGAGTAGGGAAGGGGGCACGGGGAGCCCCGGACCCCTGAGTGCCCAGGGTGGGGGCTGCACGGGGACCCCTGCCCCCCCCCCGTCCCGGACGCCCGGGCCCCTGTTCCTGGGCTGCCGCGACCCCCCGGACGCCGGGGCCCGCAGGTGCGGGGGCAGGGCCTGCCCTGCGCCCCCCAGTTCTCGCTGGCCGCCTTCCTGGCGCCCCCCGGCGCCGTGCGCAGCTGGACCCTGGGGGGGCTCCCCAGCGACCCCTTCGCCATCACCAGCGCCGTCATCGTCACCCGCAGCC